CACCACCGCCACCACAACCACTACCCCTTCCACGATCACCACCTCCACCACCACCACCACCACTACCACAACTACCACTACCAACTACCACCGCCCACCAACCAACGTGACCACACCTAATCACTAACTACCACCATCACAAAGACCCAAAACACAAACGGCAGCTGTAGGTCTAGTTCTTCGATAATGGCCCTGCCCAGAAACTCATAGCTTAAAGCAGCAATAATGATAACAACAACAATAATTCGGATGAGCCCGGCAAAACCAACTCCGTTCTTGCCTGCAGCAGTGTAGCAATGCTAAATTCAACGATTCCAGCAAGTAAACTGGCAATACCATAGCCAGTAGCAAGACCAAAGCAGCAATGCAAAAGCAGCCTCGCCATCGATGTCTTCCATCCCGCGGCTTTTCCGCCTAGCGCTCTCACGAACCGAGTCGCCGGGTTTGGACACAGCAACGGCTTAGAGGGGTTGAGGGCTGAAGGCTTAAAAAGGGTTTCGGATTTGGGCTACCAGGACTTTGCGGCAAGGCTCGAAAGCACTTCGTCTGCGAGATCGGGAGCGCTCTCGTTCCAGGGTTGAGGGTGTGGGATGTAGGGTCCTGGATTTAGCGCTCCCAAACCCTCAGGTACCCAAATCCACAATCCAATCCGCGGGACCTGGCGAGTCGTGCTGCAGCCTCCTCCTTCGCCGCCTGCATCCGCGCCTGCCCCACAGGAGTGGGAGTCTTGAGGATTCCAGGCTGCTTTCCGGGCGTTTCTGTTACTTTAGGGTGTTTCTTGGTGTGTTTGCGTGTGTTTGGTTTGTTTTCGTGGTCACTAAGCTTTCGACAGTTAGAGTTGGCTTCGATACTTTAAAGGTTTTGCGGGCTTTAGGGTTTGGCTGTTTGATGCTTTCAGGCTTTGGGGTTTAGAGCTCATGAGGCATTAGGCGTTCTGTGTTGTTGGGACTTCGGGTGTGTAGGATTCTACATCAGTGATTCTATGGCTTTTTAGGCTTTCGGGTCCAAGGCCTTTCAGGGATTTCGGGGTTTGCGGGATTAGGGTGCCGTCGGTTTGGGATGGTCTAGCGTGACCCCTACTTACGAAGTCCGCGATTCAAATTAGACCGAAGCTACGAGTGCGGAACACTAAGTGAAGCTTCTGCGCTGCCCGAAAGCCCCATTCGATGCCCGTGAACTCTGCGAGAACAACCCATGTACTCCAACTTGATCTGCCGCTCACACCTCGCTAGAATATCTGAATCCCTTCAGAACCCTACAAGACTGTCTGCAGAACAGAAAAGCTCTTCAAAACAGGATTGGCTCAGGCTTGGTTTCTTGCAAACTGTAGCTAGCTCCCTTGGTGATAGCCTGCTCCTTCTCATGAGCCAGCAGCTCATAGGTCACCTGGTCTGTTCAAGGTTACAAGAGTTCGGGATTTACTGTTTGAGGCCGTGCAGGCTGTTGGGTTGGTGGTATGTTACCCACTGGATATGTAACCAGATGGATAACGAGGGCAAGCCAGAGCGACAGAGAAAGAGAGAGGGGGGTTAGAGGATCAATACTACTAGTCCTTGAGGCTTCCATGTTCGCGTCTTACAGATGAGACCGTGAGTTGCTGCGTGGCACGTTACCGGGCTCCAAGTTCACCATAAAGCTTGCGCCAGCGGAGACACCAAAGAGTGACAGCAGAGAAGACGCTGTAGGGGCCCTACCGCATCCGGACCTCCACCGCCCAAGAACTACAAAACCTCGTGTAACGGCAGGGAGGGTGCCAGGCCAGGACTTTAGAGACGTCGAGCGACTTGACGCCTCATGGACTGTGGCGGGAGCTGATGGATTTTTCAACGAGTTCAGCGTCCCAGCAGACGCGGCGGCACAGTGGCGAGAGCAACCTAATCCTCTGCACTCTTGGTCTGAGAACTCAGCCGCTTCCGGGAAATATGTCAACAGCAAGGTATGCTCCTCTACCAAACTTGTAGCATTCAGCGACCACGACCCACCCCCTTTACCGGGGGACAGTAGCTCCGGGTCGCTTGGCTACAACCTCGATGGCGTAGCTCAAGCTTACATCGTCCTCATCACTGGGAGCTGCATTTGCAAGAGTGCCTGCCCTTACACCATGCCAGCCGAGCTGCCAAAAGCCAGACCCGAATTACAAACCTCAATACAGTTGAGAAATCAAAGAAATAACAGATGGTGAAAAGCTGGACGTGGAGGAATGTACCACTGATTTCGGCATACCGGAGCCTCAATCCGAGAAAACCCATGCAGAGCCCATGCGACCCCCTGCCTAGTAATAGCACCTGAAACATCTAGGCCCTAAATTGAAGCCAAAACAGCCCCTTCCGACGACTCAGGTTCTGTGCGTATGGCCCAACTCCGAAGCACCAAAACAAACCCGTAAACACTCAACCCAAAACGCCCCCATGTTGCAAAAAAACAGAAGCTAGAAGCCCGCCAAACGCATTGGAAACAAGCTGAACCCAATGCACACATTCAAGACCATCCGCAAACCCACAAGGCCCACAAGGCCCTCCCCTGAAGCGAACCCCGAAAACCGAGAGCTCCACGAGCCGGTCGATGAGCCACTCCTTGCGCGCCTCCTCCAAGCTGAGCCTGAGTGGTTTCTACAAAAACCAATCTAGGGACCTTAATATTTAGAATAGGGCTCCGGGGTATATTATATACTATGACTATAGTCAGGAACTCCCACACTAGCATAGGTGATCATTAAGGCTTAAGGCCCCCACAGTATTCCCGGCATTGTGTCACCGTTGGATTTGGTGAGGGTCTACGGTTTGCAGGTTTGGGTTTAGGGTGTCGGCTCTATCGTTCTTTGAAACAGGACTTCGGGAAGTTCAACGCTCATTTGTTGAAGTTAGGTTTTCGAAATGCAACTCGGAAAACACCGCTAAGGGGTTTAGGGAGCAGAACGATAATATCTTGTCTTGGGGTTGAGTAGCTGGGTTTAGTAATTATTTAGGGGCTGCTTTATGTTGAAGGGTTCAAGGGCTTAGTCCCGGTGCAGAAAAACGCTTGTTCAGGAGTGGTAAGGACTGGGAGTAGCAAGTGGGCGTGCGAAGTCATGTGCAGGACTAGAAGCGACGTGAGCCCAAAGTCTCCGAGTCGGGGTAACTTCAAGCGGATCTCCAGATCCGTAAAAAGAACCAGAAAGGGTTCCTCAAGCACGGAAACCTACCAAAAGCACCCAACAAGCCCCAACAGAAAACCCCGAACTTCAACCTCTTGCCAAAAACGATTCTAGCACGCTCTAGAAACGAGCAAACGAGACTTAATGTTGAAAGGCTTCACAGCGGACTGCACGGGCAAGCTGCCATGCACAGTCTGAGTCTGTGGGAGCACCCGCCTTCCGGAACTCACCTCTGAACGCTGAAGATCATGGACACGATGCTGGTGCAAACACAGGCGAAACCGTGTCGAAAATGTGAAAATGTTCAGATAGGCTCGAGTTCCGGGATCGAGGGCCGTGCTTTCTTTGCACGAAAATCATCGGACTTCAAAGTCGGCATGTGTCCTCAGCAGAATGTTCAGCCGGGGCGCATGCAGAGACACGAACTGTGCTCGAAATTGGGGGCCGGATTGGATCAAACCTGCCATCATCGTTTGACTGGAGCAGATCCTCCTGCACACCATGAGCTTGCAGATGAATTGTGATGGAATGTTTATTGAGTCTTGAAAGTGCCGTCATCTGTGCGGTGGCACAAGAAGCTTTAAATCAGCATGCAGATCTGCCTCTACCGCTGCAGGTCCTGCAGTTGCAAACTGGCTGCACATCGACGCACGGACATGTCCCGGAAGAGTCAACCAGATGTGTAGGTTGTATAGGATTCATAGGCTCGGGCCTGTTTGGAACCCTAAGCATACCGTCATGGTCACATAACAGGTCTCGTCCGGCGGAGCGCTCTGGGGAGGCCCTTATGCTCTGACACTGCCTCGAAGGCAGAGACAGAAAACAAAGGTTACAGAATCCCCGATGGATCCGATGGTGTTCACTTCTATCCTTGCGGCACGTGCAATCAAGCGAACATGCAGCTCAGCATTGGAAGTCATCTAACTGTCTAACTAGTTCCGCGGAACATCCAGAATACAAACTGCACGAGCCTTAACTTAAAAAGGCAGGTGAGACGTCGACTCTCACTCAGGAAGCAGCAGCCACTTGACGACTTGCCTTGCGCCTAGAGAAAAAAGCTAAGTTTCCCCTCGGCGCTTAATACTATCGTGCAAGCTGGCTGCTGGTCCAAGGTCATATCTGCCGGGCTGCCTGATTTAGTCGGGTCAACATAACCTGCCTCCATGGCATTCGCTTTCAAAGTTCGCATCGGTCTGATATGCTTCCACAGCAGAATGTTCAGCCGGGGCGCATGCAGAGACACGAACTGTGCTCGAAATTGGGGGCCGGATTGGACCAAACCTGCCATCATCGTTTGACTGGAGCAGATCCTCCTGCACACCATGAGCTTGCAGATGAATTGTGATGGAATGTTTATTGAGTCTTGAAAGTGCCGTCATCTGTGCGGTGGCACAAGAAGCTTTAAATCAGCATGCAGATCTGCCTCTACCGCTGCAGGTCCTGCAGTTGCAAACTGGCTGCACATCGACGCACGGACATGTCCCGGAAGAGTCAACCAGATGTGTAGGTTGTATAGGATTCATAGGCTCGGGCCTGTTTGGAACCCTAAGCATACCGTCATGGTCACATAACAGGTCTCGTCCGGCGGAGCGCTCTGGGGAGGCCCTTATGCTCTGACACTGCCTCGAAGGCAGAGACAGAAAACAAAGGTTACAGAATCCCCGATGGATCCGATGGTGTTCACTTCTAGGCTTGCGGCACGTGCAATCAAGCGAACATGCAGCTCAGCATTGGAAGTCATCTAACTGTCTAACTAGTTCCGCGGAACATCCAGAATACAAACTGGCACGAGCCTTAACTTAAAAAGGCAGGTGAGACGTCGACTCTCACTCAGGAAGCAGCAGCCACTTGACGACTTGCCTTGCGCCTAGAGAAAAAAGCTAAGTTTCCCCTCGGCGCTTAATACTATCGTGCAAGCTGGCTGCTGGTCCAAGGTCATATCTGCCGGGCTGCCTGATTCAGTCGGTCCAACATAACCTGCCTCCATGGTATTGGCGTTGAAAGCGCGGTTGGTCTGATTTCCACAAGGTCCGGGTGGCACGGGCTGTGCCGGCTCTCCGTGCACGAGGCATGCGCTCTGACGGTATCTCCGCGGTCCTTTGCCCCGCAATGCCTCGCAGCGAAGTGGAGTTGTCTTTTGAAAACCCGGGAGGAACTTTCCGTGAACGTGGCTGACGAATGTCTGCACAGACATTTGGCAGCAATGGATTACAGCAAATCCCCTCGACTTGCCATCTGGAAAAAGCGCCATCTCGACCTCAAAATCCGTCAGACCCTTTGTGTGCAGGAATCCGCACAAGATTCCCTGGTCACACTTCGCGGGGATGTTGCGCAAGAAGATCCCAACCATTTCCTCGCGGCCCTCGCTCGTTGCCATGTTGCAGAGCCGGATTCCGGCTCAGCTTGATAAGATGCCGAAGGGTCGAAGCCGAGAGTTAAGCCCGCTTAAAGCAGCCTGAGCCGACGGGCTCGGACAGAAAGGCGAGCACGTGCAAATCGCGGGGGTTTAGGAACCTAAACCCTGTAAGTTGGGCTGTAAGCTCTAAACAGCTGAGCACCCGGGCTGCGCAGAAGCCTCGAGGTGCGCAGTGGACCCCCGGAGGCCCCGTGCCCGGCACATCTTCTCCAACTGTCAGGGTTCTAGGCTGGGCTCGGCAGGTTTGGGGTTCAGGGTTTACGGTCAGCAGTAAAAGTCTTTTAAGAAATTGGATTTGGAGGCCTTCGGTTTGCGATCTGTTGGCGTCGGAGTTTTGGGTTTAGGTCTTGGTTTGGCGAGACTTGCGATGCTGTATAGGACCTGGTCAGAAATTAGGGATGTTCGTCCGTACGTTACTAGAATGCGACAGGCACTCTCACACGCGGACATCAGACTACAAGAAGGCCATGAAACCCCGACAAGTTCTAAACCCCCAGGCGCTGAACCTTGTACAAGAACTCTACCCATAAGGGCACAATTTCACTAGGACCTGTAACGACTGGAATGGTGTCAAGAACTCCCCACAAGCGACCAGATCAAGACAAGCCCAACCCGTAAAAGGGCCCTGCCTGCGAGAAGTGCTGCCGCCTCCAATCTGCCAGTTTGGGCTCTAACCTTGATCTGGCATGTTGAGTCTTGTGATTCTGCGCATTGAGAGTTGGAGTTACAATAAGTATCGCGGGAGTGACTAAGTATTCAGGCACCTACATTACGAAGCGGCTTCGTACTCTGAGATCACGGTCTTTGGCGGATTGTAGCGGATATTCGGTGCCACGCACCGACCGTGCAACATTGTAGGGCCTTGCAAGGCAAGCACCCGGAACGCGGATTGATAGTATAGACGTCTGAACAAGTAGCACTGGGTATGTCATTTTTGGTGCCTTATTCCAGATGAGCCGAGGACCTGAGATTCAACTTCTTTGAACTCAACTGCACAAATTTCGGAGAACGCCCTCTCAGAAGCGACTGCGCCACAGAGGGGTTATCGTACCATCTCTTGAGCAAGTCGCCATGGAGCGTGCCTAGAGTTCGGGGTTGCGCGTGACTTTGGGGACTTCTCGGGGTCAGGATGTAAAACACAATATCGCTTCTGTATATGCACTGGTCTCAGAGTCTTCTGCGTATGTAGGTAGCCGTCTCTACCGCTCAGCCCCAAGCCATCCTACACCTTAACTCGCCTCTATCCCAAGAGTAGCTCCCACACTGCTCCTACACTGCTCGAGACACTGGAAGCCGCCCCACTCAATCGGTTGGTAGTCCTGCAAAAAGCGGCTCAATTCAACACCATCCCCAATGCACCAGGGCAGGTGCCACACAGGCTCGCGAGAAGAATCGCCCTTGCTCGCGAGGGCCCTTTGGGCGAACAGGGTGAGACGGCTTCTGGGTGCTGCAATGGGAAATGCCTGAGACTTCCTCTCTAAACCCCCAGCCCGAAACCTCAAACATCAAAAACGCTAACATCCTCGCACTTGGACTGTGGGATTCTGATGGTCATCTGTCGGTTCAAGCACCACCACTACACTCTAATTATAACAAGGAGCCCCTAGAATACTGTAGTACTGGTTTTTCAAAAATGGCCCCCAGAGTTCCTGCGTACGGTCTTTGAAAGTCCGCCCAGGAGGCAAAGAAGGAGCGATGCTTCGTTTTGCAACGTCCGCAAGACCCAGAAACTCGAAATCGAGGAGACATCGAAAAGGTGAACGTAAGCTACAATTTTTACTTAGTTAACTTTTACGTAGGGTTTAGGCGGGGAGCTTCCATGGAGACCCTCACGCATCCGGCTCCGTCGAGCTTCGGCAGCAGCCCGACGCCACATCAAAAAAAGCAAAGTCGATCCCGTCTGGACACCCCAAACAACCCTAAATCCTGCCTTGAACCCCTAGGCCCTAGTCTACGCCTGAGGCAGGATGATGCGGAGTCAAGCCTCACACTTTGTATGCCAGGGACGATCACTCCCCAACGTTTGCGCCTCGAAACCCCTTTCCCAGAATTCCTTAACCTTTGAGGGCGGCAAAAAGCACATAAAAACACGCAGGTCAACCACAACCAGAACAGCAACAGCAACAACGACGAGGAAGACGAAAACAACTGCGATGACGACGATGGCATCGACTGCCGCTTCGACGGTGGTGACAGTCACTCACTCTTTTCCCTCGTCTCTATCGCTAGGTTGTCTACCAGCCGCCTCGCCTGTTGCTGCTAGCGGTTTGTGAGATTAGGTAGGGTATGACGGCCAAGAATCCTGGCTCCCGTCTCACGCTTTTGCCTCCGCATTACACCCTCCGGCCAGCCTTAGGCGACGAACGCCAACCATGACCGAAGCCTGGCACGCAGCCAGGCGAGATCAGACAGAGACATCAATGCTTCGACTGTGGTATAGCCCCTTACATCGATGCAGAAATTGAGCACTGTAGAGTATGCCTTTTCAAAACGCTCCGGTTCTGATTGTAGCTTTCAAATCGAGATGGAGGTAGCTAAAACTCACACATGCCCCAACCATGATCTGGTTCGTTAACGGCTTAAGGGAGACGATGCGCCTAAAGGTCACTGTAATCGACTTGGGCCCTCTAGGGTGGAAACACTATACCACGCGAAACACAACTCCAAAGCCCCAACTACCGTTCATATACCAGAATACGGCACTTTGTCCATCCAAATCCTAAACCAACCCATGTACGCCCGTAACCCTGAACCTTCCACACCAAATTTTTTGCCAAACATGGCTTTCGAATTTCAGATACTATGGGACCCCTTATGTAGGCCCTAACTACTCCATGACCCCGTGCTACAACTCTCAGAAACCGCATTCAACTTTCCCCTGCGCCGACCTCGAGGCCCCGCAGAAACTGTGGAGGAAAAAGTCCCCAGTCCTCAGGGCTTCGGGGTGTGAAACACTTGAAGCAGCTGGGGCCTAGCGCCTAGGGGCTTTGCACTGTCTAGCCAAGCAGGAAAGTCCTCACAGTTTCTACAGGAACGCCTTTAGAGGTTCTTTTCGTACGAACCTAAAGAGCTACCCTTGCAGCTTTGTAGGAACCTTTCTAACCCTCATGGGAACCCTCATGGTAACCGAAGGCTGGTTTCTGTGTCTCTCTAAAAGGATGTCTCGGGGCTTCCCCGAATATACGCTAGCGGAACGAAATGCATTTGAATTCCGTCGTTCATGGGCCAGAACCCGGCTCTCCGCGGCAGTTCAACCCTGAAACGCGAGAACCCCCGAACGCCGTCTGGAAGCTCATTGCCCTGAATCCATACAGGGCAAGCTATAGGACTTTTTTTGGGGGCCACGCCTCCCACACTTTGAGGATCTTGGCAATCTGTGGCAGGCGGACAGTGCTACAGGGCTTCAGGTGTAAGGATGGCGGTTGACGAGACCGTCCTACAAAGGTGGCTCTCAACTCCCGAAGCGAAGTCCCGTATGTGGGAAGCCTACGGACACAAGCCCCCAAGGAAGCACGAAGAACCGCGAGGGCCTAAACATCTTCCGCAGCTCAGAATGACGGAAACAAGCACACCGCGGGCTCGGAAAAGGACCCAACGGCTAGGGTTGAGGGTTTAGGGCTTGGGCTTTGGGCTGCAAGGGTGAGGATTCCTGGTTGTGGGTTTAGGGTCTAAGCTGAAATCTTGTATGCCTACACTTATCGACTCGTGCTTTGCCGTATTCCTATGCCTCGGTTCTACCAGGTCATGCTGGCTCTACCGCAGCACAATATAGGATAGGATAGCATCGGACAACATCATAGCATCGCACTGCACAGCAAAGCATAGCATTGAATCGTAGTGTATTGTATTGTTTGGGATAGTTCGGCATCGGTCGGTATAGTTTAGTGTAGCCTGGTGTCGTGACTATACAGACTATACAGTATAGTGGAGTATAGTGAAGGCACAGTATACCCCAGCAGTATAGAGTCGTATACTCAACTGTATCGCATTGCGTCGCACGTTTTCGTGTAGCATCGTCATTCTACGATCGTGCAGGGTCGTATAGCATCGCATATTACTGTACATCGCAGAAAACCGTAAAGTATAGTAGAGTGTAATGCAGCAGAACGTAGTGTAGTATAGCAAGGTATAGTACAGTACAGTATGGCATGGTATGGTTTGGTAGAGTACAGCGATGTACCTCACTCAGCTGCTCAGCTGAGGGCCCTTATCGTAAGCATCCTACTCTTCAGCTTGCAGGGTTGACGGTAGAGCCATTCTTTGCTTGCATCCTACATGCGCACATAGCCCTCGACAACAAGCGTCAGAGCCTAAGCCACAAGCCGGAACCCTCCTGGTGAGTACGCCTCTACGCTCCTGTGATGCTATCCTCGAATATACCCAGCACTCAAATTGTAAAGACCCGAAAGCCATGTAAAACCCGCGACACCCTCTCCCAGCCTCCAAGCCCTCCGAAAACCTCTTGAATGGCTTTGAAAAGGTCCGAAACCTTGAGTCCTTCCCCTGCCTATAGAACCCGTATGCGAACGTATGGAAACCTTACAGACCCCTTGTAGAACCCTGATTGACATCCGATAGAACCCCTAAGGCTCGCTAAGTCTGAAGCTACCCGCCTGCTCCTTAGCCTGCGTCACTTGGATCTTACTCTCTGACCGGCTGAGACCTCGTGGTTTTCCGGCTCGGAACTTAAGGCTCATGCTTCAACGGCGTAGGGTGTGAGAGCTCAGGCTTAGATACAGAGCTCGGAGCTTAAAGCTTGCGGTTTCGGACTGGGAGTGACATGAGATTAGGACCAAGTCTCGTCGTGATGCTGGCAGAGCGTATGTTTCGTGATGCTCACATAGCATCCTACCACTTTGCTATATTTCTACAGGGACTGCGAATCGAAATCCACTTCATGACCCTGGGACCATTATATTCCGACACGTGGTCTCGCAGTAGTAAGATAGTATGAAACTAAG